GGGTAAAGGTTTAGTGATTGGAGGCGCTCCTCATAAGGCTTGAATGCGAGTCCCCGAACTGATTTCGCGGCTCGCCATCGGATACGCTCTAGAGTGTCCTAATCCTTTTGGAGTGAGGGAGAAAATACCGTTTCCATACTCTGAATGGGGATGAATAAAACTGAGGAAGATTATGTGGAAGTTCTTCCGTCGAACTGGCCAAAAATGCGCTTCAATGTTACCAGTGTAAGGTTTGCTCGAAAGGCATTTTTGTCATTGTTGCGTGAGAACTGAAGACATTTGACTGATTAAAACCTTTCTTGTGGTATATTAATAATTTTACTGTGTTTTTTGGATGTATTTGTTTTACTCAACTTCTGAACTTGCTTGTCTATATCATTATTTTTGGACATTTTGGGTCAGGTTTTCCGGTCCTATTGGTCGATTTCGTTTGGAATAATCCAGGTTTGCTTTGGTAACCGATTCTTTAGAACAAAGGTATACTATGGAAACGCGAAGCAAAAGGCCGAAGGAAAATGAAGAAATGGAAGGCAAAATTTCTAAAGCTGTTCGTGGTATATCTGATGTTAATGATGATCAACATGACCATATTAGTGTTAATAATATGTGTTGTGATCTACTTAGTTCTTCTAGACTGAAGTTAGCTTTGACAATAATTAGGAAGAACGGTTTAGAAAAGAGACTTGAGTTAGAAAGACAGCTTAAGATGTTAGAAGTTCAAGAGGAGGTGTATATTGCTAAATTAGAGTGTAAGTTTATGGAGTATAACCGGCTGTCCATAGATAAAGGTGAGGTGAGTGCGAAGAGAGGAAGGTTTTTGGATCGTGGTACTGGCGGTAATAATCGTTCCAAGGATACGCACCATATTGGTGTGCATGGCTCACTTGAACCAAAGTCCTCTTCAATAGTGGAACTAAACGAAGAAATGTGTTTGGAAAATTCGCCTAATAAACGGCAATACAATCGTAGTGTTGATGGGACTCAAAATGAATTTTACGGAAAGGTGGTTGACGCTTAATTCGTATTTACAAGAGATTTAATGTTTATACAGAATTTACGTGACAATGCTATGAAGGAGTGTTTCATACGATTAGATTTGTGGCTAACGATCATGGGAAAAAGGGCTTTATGTTCTTCTGCGGACTCAAATAGTTGTTTGTATGTGAGTCTGCAATTGTGCCTGAAGCCATGTATTATGGACACTCATTTTCTTGCAGAGCTAGAAGAGTGTAACAGTGTTGTAATTTGGAATCAGAATAAGGAGTTCGTGATAAATAAATGAGTTAGTGGCTCGATACTGGTATTCTGAGAGATGCAGGCAGGAGAACCATATGGCACAAGTATGCCGTTCGATCAACCCCATATTGATCAGGTCCATATTGAATATGTATTTTCCGAGTAGTCTCGTGTTCAGCTTTGATGATTGTGTGGTTAATTCCATATGCCACTACATGTTTACTGTGAAACTAATGGGCGCTTTGGTGTCTTTGTGTGCGGGCATGTTTGCCTTTTCTATGAGTTCCTTATCTGCGGTGAATGCTTGACTATGTGTCGTCCAGACTGATGGATTTCGCATTTCCACGAGGTTGCTCGGTTAGCGAATTCATAATTGACTCACATTTTGGTATGAATCGTCTATAGAAAATTACAAGGCCGTTTAATGTGCGTAATTGCTTATTGGTGGTCGGTTCTGTGTAATCCAGAATGGCCTTCATTTTGCTTCTAGGAGCTCGGATGCCTTGCGCATCAATAGTGTGTCCCAGGATATCTAAGGGGTCAGTTCCAATTTGGCATTTCTGAATGTTTACAGTGATGCCATGCTTTTGTTGTCGTTCGAACACAAGATCCAGATGCTGGAGATGGGATTCTCTGTTCGGACGTGCTATCAAGCAGTCATCAACATACTTATGTACGAAGTTGAGACCACGAAAAACGTCAGCTATGAACCTTTGGAATGTTTGAGCAGCGTTTCTTAGACCGAAAAGCATTCGCGAAAATTCGTACAGGCCAAAAGGCGTTATAATAGTGGTTTTCAATGTATCGTCAACAGCCATATGGATTCGGTTATACGCTTTAACCAAGTTGATTTTCGAAAAGGCAGTTGAACCTTTCAAGGTAGCTGTCATGTGAATGTGAGGCGACGGGTAACGATGGAGGACGGTTTTAGCATTCAATCGCCGGTAGTCACCAGATGTACGCCAATCATTGCTCTTCTTTTCGAATTCGTTTTTAGATAACCTCAGCTTTTCGGGAGCCAGTCTGCGCGCTTTAGAGAATACAGGTGGTCCTGTAGTCGTGATGTGATGTGTAACATTGCTGGTTACACGAGGCAATGTCGGTTGTGGTCGGTATATCCCAGAATACTTATCGAGTAATGGTTGAGAGAATGGGCCTATCGTATGCTTAATTGTGACTGGAGACAATATGCAACCGGAAAATGAAGTACGCATGCAGATAAATTGGTGTTTCCATCTACTAGCCTCCGTTTACGCGTATCGATAAGTAGATTATGGTGTGGTAGAAGGTCTATACCGATGATTGGCATAGAAACATCTGCGACAACAAAGATACAGTGGATGTGTTTGCGTAAACCCACGTTAATGTAAACGTACTTTTCGCCATACGTAGCGATAGGCTTTCTGTTGGCCGCCTGTAGGTTTAAAACCTATTCGTGAAACCGGTCGTCAGAATTCTCTTGAAGAACGCTTACATCTGCGCCAGTATTGATGAGGTAGAGAAATTTGGTTATAACATCTGTGACGTATACCAGACGGCTATGTTCGCTGGTGACGGTTGCCGTTAACGCATGCCGCCTTGTAAATTTCCCGAATTGCTTTTCGTGTCAGTCGATTTTGAGTTCGAAAAGTTGCCGGCTTTCCTGAAATTTCTGGAAGACTTTCCATACTGCTTATGATCCCAGCACCAGTTGAGGTTATCCGTCTCTCGTGGTCTCAAGACAGATCTCCTACGTGACGTGCTTCGTCGCGCGGCGTGTGACCGTTTACGGCCATAACGAAATCGCAGATAACGTGCCAGCGAATGACATAGTTCTGTGATGTCACTCTGGGTCGTTTGAGGTTTTCCTTTGGCTGAAAAGACCTCTGCATTAGAAGATTCCATGATTTCAAGGATGAGATCGGCAGATGAAACCAGCTCGTCTACGGCGTTATTTTAAAACGAGACCAGCACAGCTGGCACCTGTTGAGGTAGTTTGGATAAGAAAAGTTGTTTGAATAGGCCATCATTGAATGTTCTTTGGCCGATAATCTTTCTCGTTCTTTGCAACATGTCTGCCGCAGATTTGCGTTGCAGGTTGATGTTATTAAGAAGTTGGTCTAACCTTTGTCTATGGGTTAAATCTCTGCGTTTATGTGTCTCGTAGGGTTCTGAAACATCACTAGTAAACATTCCAGGTGTTGTGTACCTGCTGAATTCGCATGGTAGTGTCTTGACTACTGTGAGGAATTGTGCACGTGCGTCGATCACGTCGTGTTCATAGAAGTCAGCTTCTGCGTAGCAGAACCAGGCTTCGATGTTATTTGGCCAGAAGGGCATTAGTTGAAACGAAGGTGGAAACATAATCTTTAACTTAAGTACACTGGATGTCTGTTCAGTCATGGCGAAATATCAAGTACCAGAATAAACGCATGAAAAAATATATATCCAAAAACACGGAATAAATATCACAATGTATAAAAAATTGAAATAAGGCAATGATTTACAGAATCCTAAAAAGGAACAGACTCATAGTTTACGATTTGGTGTACAAGATCACGTCGGGTTCACCACTTAAGATGCCACAGGTATTCAGAGTTCGACAACGCTTTACCCGGTAAAACCTTCTAATATGAAGCGTACACACCAAGTGAAATCAAAAGACAGAAGCGAGGAGGTTCGAAGATAAATTTGATAGGCTATCAATATATCGAGGATAGTCTGGTCTAATCTGGCTAGTGATTGCAGGGGATGTTGTGCAAGGCGTTCCGACTCGTGATCTGGTGTGGATACATGAGCGAGCGCCTTCACCTAGGTGAGTCCATAAAAACTAATGTGGTCAGCATTCAATGTCGAAAACTTACAGAGCTATTTATTTGTGGATTTATTTACCGCTACGATATCATGTCCTTCACAAAGTTTAGTAAAAGTAACCTAACCACTCGTTTGCAGTCTCAATAAAGGACTAGTCAGTTTATTTAGGGTTATGGGAAGGAGGGTGTTGTCATGTCTCTCCTTACAGCTGTCAACCGAGGGGGCTGTAGCCATGCCTGATGGGAACGCATTTTAAGTAGGCTTGACATGTGGAAATAAACTTGTGATCTCGGTGTTAAGTTCTTGATGGACATTGTAATGTGCTTCACGAAGTACAGTGTTGAATTTGTACTCAGGTTCTGAGTCGCTTGTCCTATCTGCTGAAGACGATGCAATGTGCCTACCTTCTATAATGTGTTCAGATGTGTTTGTTTAAAGGCTTGACTCAATCTGTGAAGTTTTTGTGATTTCGATTCCACACATCAAATTTATGGTGCAAAAAAGAGCAGAGAATCGGAAGGACTGATATAGATCAATAGAGGCAAGCTGATTTTGGTAACTGATATGACGAACTTCCGAAACGAAGGCAAATGGTTCTTTCTATTAGTCAGAAAATTCCTAGGCGGTAAATTACGGTCAGTAACAACACAGATGTCTGATGACAATAAACTGAGAACTGAAATCTGAAATTGACACCTCAAAATTTCGTATGCACTACAGTGTAGTGTCAGCGAAATGTCACATAACCCCAGACAAATCTTTCGACAGTCGAGTCAGTGAATATCGAACAGTTCACCGATCCCTGTCAAGTTCAAGAGGTTAATAACAATGTTTGTAGTATTAAAATTATAGAAACGTGAATAACAGCAAAACGTTTATGCAAACAGATTTTTTTCACTTTTTCAACTTTGATTATATTATCGAAACATTCTGGCGTTCCTTATGTTTGTATTTCTCAAAATCTCGACCTTAGTGGACTTAGTTGCTAGCGTAGTTTCAATTAATGGACAACCGACAACACTGTGCAACAATCATTCAAAAAGCATGGTTCTCTTATCACAACAAACAGATATTTAAGATATTTAAATTTGCAATAAAAATCTTGGTTTGTAAACATTTTTTACATTAAGTTCTAGGAAAACCTGCCAAAAAAACATCTCCTTAAATTACTTTTGCCTGAGGACTACCGAATTTTAAACTCAGATAGATTATGTGACACGGCTGTTTTATTTAGGTAACTAATAGTATCATTATTACTTCGAAAATTTTGGTTGGATGGGGTAAAATTTCCACCGGTCATATGTTTCAAAGTAAATGTGAAGAATATTTCTTGTTCATTTACTAATATTTCTCCTGTGAGTTTATTTAATGCAAACAATGTAAGATTACGTAAAACGTTTCACGTGTTTAGATTACGAAGTGTATCGTGCAATCAGTCGGTAGAAGAAAATACCTCGATCTAATGTTTGAAGATTCAAGTGCTTATTTTCAACCTCATTTTATGAAAGAAAGGTGTCTTTCAGATGTTCTAATTACACGAAAGGTAAAGCAGTTAAGGTTCTTACCCAAGCTTCCGATTTTGGGGAAAATTTGACCTATTTTGGGGAAGCCGCTGTAGTAAATTTTAGGGAAATGGCACAAGAACCGCAAAATTTCCCCAAAGTTAGGAGCTTGGGAATAATTACTAAAAATAAAGATTGTCAGTATACAATCAATTCTCGTTCTTTGATATGGTTTAATTATTATAATTGCGCGTTGCCTCAAAAATTGTTAAGACGTAGAACTAACTTCCTACTCACATTTTAAACTCGACTAAGTGTGTTACCATTCGTAATAGAATATGTACTAATTGCTTGAGTTTATTGTTTTGACGATGTGATCCATAGTTGCAGTGTATATTCTAAAACGTATAATGGACACAGCATTTGAAGTCTCTGTTAACTGACCACAGCTTTCAAACACCTGTCATTCTGCACAAAAGCCCTACATTAGACAAGTCATCAAATGACTGACTAAGTCTCTGAATATTGTACTAACAAGCAGACTGTTGTTATGGGTTGCTGTACGAGTAACATATAAGCCAATCAAAGCAAACAATAATGGTGGGTTTATAAGATATAGTCAAAATGTTTCTTTTACTCTCTGAGTATTCTTCTTTTAAACGAGAAGGTTTCAGAGGAAGTCGATATGAATATATTTTAAACTTAAGTATTCAAACGCATTTTAGTGAATAAAAGCGACCTTTGTAAACGATATTGGTTACACTGTGCAAGGAATTATGACGTAACACTGTGCAGTAGACTTTTGAATTACTATGTATTTTTCCACAGTCATTAAAATAAATTATGTGTTCAAGCTTATTGGGAATGTCGTTTTAGGACTTAAATCTCGAAACCGGGTAAATAAAAGGTATCTCCATTCTGTATGATTATTTTTCGGGATTTGATTTTTCACCAACGTATCTAGTCTAATAACAATATATGCTTTGCTTATTCCTATTGTAAATTTACCCTTGTTGCTGTTCAAAATGGTTTCCAAAATATGGTAAATAAAGAAATGTGCTTTCACTTTTTATTGTTATTTTCTTAAAGTCCTCATTTGATAGACGGCTGACGATTGACTCTTTTTAAAGAGAATAAACTAATTGGTTTAAAATGTTTTCTGATCGTAACTAGGGAATGATTTTCTTGTTATTTCTTCATCACGATGCTATGTCGGTTATTAATTAAAAAAAGCTATGTCGTTCAGTAGATTCACATTAAGATGCTGGAAGAATATTTGAAATGAATTTATTTTGATATTTCTGCTCCAAGATGTACATGAAGTTACAGATATCTTGATAGAATCATTGATGATGTATGTTAGTGCTTAACTTAAAGTATATTATTCTTCATATTTATTTGTGTAAAAGCGTTTCATTGAAGAACTTCCGGCTGCCTACGGAGGGCATCAGAATCACTGGCGTCATTTGGATGGTAAAGGTTTGTTTCAATTTTATCTCAGATAGACAAAAAATGTTAATGTCTTTATCTCTATTGGGCTAAAAACCACTTACATAATTCAGACCTAGTAACCATGTGACATGAAATGATTTGATTGAGTTCTGAGTACACTTGCAAGTGACAAGAAATGTAAATAGCACACTAAATTACTACTAGTTAACAGCGGTAAAGGTACGATTGCACATAAAATAAATTAGTGTTGTTTGACGCCAAAATAAATCACTTCATTATAGTGGCGAATAAATATAATAGCAACAAACTACATTCCGTAATTTATCTTTTATAAGATTACAGCAAGTTCTTTTAATATACCTAGCAAAAGTAAGACTGAAATGACTGAAAGGCATCTAAGTGCACTAATTAGGAGAACGGAAATTACCATCCGATTTGCAAATGTATTTAAACCAACAGGGTTAAAATGCCTGGTCTATATGACCAACTATTGTCCCATTCAAGGAAACCATTATTTCAGTGCAATGTATAGTTTCAACTTAACAGAATAACCCATAGACAAATGGATTACATATATAAGGAACTTGCTATTAATCTATTACTGGCAGATTTTTCATGTCCACTTTGGGAAACAATTAATTAAAGATGTCTACCAAACATTTTCACCTGCATAAAAATTACCTACCAACAAGCGTCGACCAGCGGTAAAGCTGAAAGTGAATTTGGTTTCTACTTTCTCGATGATAAAATATCAAGAAAACGTTTTGAGACAATAAAAATCTGTTTATAAAAGACCAATGATGGGTAACTGACTATGAAACTTGCTAAACTCAATTTATAGTGCGATATGCGCTACTTATATGGACATAAATAGGTAGTATGTAGTAGGAGATGGAATTGAATTGTTTATTAACACAAGAATGAAATAAATAGAAGGAAAACAAACAGCAATCAGAATAAAAACAGGATCGGAATCATGATAAAATATGTAAAAGACAACTCAATGAATACGTGCAAATGATGTATTCAATGTATGATTTTTATGTTTTACAAAGGCACTGTGTGATCTGATGTAAAACAGTAAAACTGTTTAACGTACCTGAAATCTTGTTCACTAAAATAGTAGTACAAAGGGTTACTTTATTATATCTCTCACTGTATGAGTTTGCAGTTTTATGTCAAATATAAAGAATTAGATCTCCTATGAAAATGTGTATCGAATGTGGTTGTTCATCAAGATTTAGTGTTAAAAATGTGTAAGTTAAAACTCAAGAAGTACCAATGACCTCTGTATCGAAGAAAAATTTTCATGAATGTTAATTTAAAAAATAATGGGTTCGCGAAAATCTCGAAAGGAAGGATTAAGAGACATTGTTACTCACTATGTTCAATTATTTTATATGTTAATAACATTGTTTTATTGTATGACAGAATCGATATCATTGATATGCACCCTTTTGCCTGCTTCATTTTGAGAGCAAACTTTCCCATAAAAACCTTTTTCGTGACATCAAAAAGGCAGTCAATTTTGTGAGTTGTTAAGAATTACAGCAGAAAAGCAAGATTTTCTTGGAGGGGTATTTATGTTTGTTAGAACTGTTTCTAATTTTCAAAACAGTTTTGCATTTTTATATGTTTAGTTGTCGAAAGGTTGGATTATTTATCTGATGTACTTGAATTACCATCACTGAACTGCAAGCCAAATTTGAAGCGTATTATCAACTTGCTTACTACAACAGTACAGCCTGAAGTATTAGGTCCGATGTCACGATACAAACTGCTTCAAATGAAACAAAAATTGGTTCAATGTGGTAAGGCACAGAATAAATTAGAGCAACACAGAAAGAAAACCCAAAAACAGATGAATTATTTTAATAGTTACAATAAAGTCCCGAGAAATATGAATGTAAGTTAATTGAAATTGTATTCAGTTTCATTGTTATCAGTTTACTCCGACAGTCTGATATTTAATGTTTGATGAACGTATTTACATATATTCGGATCTGTTCTTACTTAGTTTCTGTCTCATTATCTGCATAAAGTGTGGGAAAATTCAAATCTTTGTGCCCCAACACAATACGAATTGACAATAATTGATTGTTCTCTGAGATTCTTCACAAATATTGTTAGGGTAGTATTCAGTGCCATATTTTCTCCGATACTAGAATAATTCAGTTTTGTAAAGTATTCACTAGGGCCATTTGTTACTAAAATGATAATTTATTTATTATAATTAGCTATATAAAAGTGATCTCATCTTTGTTTTTAAGCAAACTCGTAAAATTCAGCAAACTATTGAATTAGTTTACAGCCAGTATTTGAATGAACTCGTGATCATTTATCAACTGAACATTTTGGAAGCCATATTCGCGACTTAGTTACTCCTGTAATTATTACTTCATAAAATCAATGTTTATTTATAAGTTTTAAACCTATTTCTGTTCAGAGTTGTAACTAATGAAGACATGCGTCAGATAGGTGTCTTCTCAAACTGTTGTGTGCATATCAACTCAGATTTAAAGCACGTATACAGCGAATTATACCTATTAACAACCATGTCAAGTTATTCAGTATTTCAATAGGGATATTTCTTTTTTTCGATCACTTAAGCACTCTGTATTTATGGATTGCCTGGTTATGGTGGTAACGCAATAATGTTTCTTACAGGAAGTAACGTTAGAAAATAATGCATAGTATTATTAAGAGATGCTGAAACGATTGTTGGCAAACATGTATGACAAAACATATTATATTGGAAGGTTGAACATCAAATTCTAGGTTTCAAGGGACCGCGATCTATGTAACAGCACTTACTCTTTATTTGTTTGCCTAAAGTTTTATGTTGATTCATATCGGCGATAAAATATCTTAACAATTTGTAAGATCTAGAGTCGCTTATTATTAGTTTAAAGGATGATTTATTAATTAGATTCAGTAAGGTTACGTTCGTATTATCATATTTAATATTAGTAGTAGGGATCATGTAATCCTACACATTCGTCGACCTTTATATAAGAAATTTATATCTATATATGTTTTTTTAAATAGTGTATACAGAACTCACTCAATAAAAAAACCGATCTGCTTGCTCATGAATATTTGGATGAAATGTCTGATAAACTAGAAGAAGCAGAACAGTTGTACAAATGGAGTCAATGTCTACCTCAGTTGTGATTTAAAAGAACAGACTTTGTTTACTAAGACTATGTTTTGAGTAAAAGAGAAAAAAATAGAGAAATAACTTTAATAAATGTCAATGATATGTTTGATACTTGTTCTGCCATGGTGAATATTTATACTAGTTAGTGTTATTTCTAGAATTTATAAGGGTTCTTTTTAAATCTCGCTTAGTCGATCTCTCAAAGTAGGCTGCGATTTTTCTGGTATATATACCCTATCCATATATTGTATTTAAACTTGCCTACTATGAATAAAAGCAACCAAAATACCGAATTTCACATAAGAGTCATGAAACTAAGGGATAAAGTATGTCTCAAGAGCACTAAGATTATGAACAATAAAAGTTACTCAGTGAACAATCTAACTTTCTGTCGTAGTGTTCTAGTTTTAGTGAGAAAACATCATATGACTTTCCAATGAGAATATCAGAATTTAGTGCGATCACAATAAAAACTGTTTGGTGAATGGGGAACGTGTCCAAAGTAAGCAGTTTTTCAAGTTGAGAGCAATAGAATGTCCAGCTAGAATAGTTGATGAACTGGTGGAATACAAAGTAAAATTTATAGATGGATGGGGACAGAAAGTCTGTTGCAACAGAATATCACATGCTCGCGCAGGTCTAGAAATGCTCAGCTTATAATTTAGACTACTTACAATTACAAAGTAGCGTGCAAACAACAAATTAAAAAATGAATGAAGGTCGAGAGCCGTTAACATTTGACATACTTCTTGGGATACTACTGTTACAGATACTCCAGCCTTATTATATTTATTAACTTGAGGTAAAGATATAACACTGTTGAGCTCATGGGTGCGTAGCAGCTGGAGTATAAAAGTACACTGTTATTCTGGAGACTACATTGGAACATTCGAGAATAATTTATAAGCAGATGGTTAAGTTAGTTTTGTCCATAGAAACCCGTACATTTCCGAAGTACCAAATATTTTTCTGATGATAAGAAGAACTAGTGAACGAAGAGGGTCCAACGAATATTTTGTCATGGAAAAGTAAGAAAACATCCTCAAATTGGTTTCTGAGAACTTCGGATTTAGAGGAAATAATGTTACATTTCAGAACCGTACAAGTGGATAACTAGTTTAATTGAAATGAGAATAAATGCCAGGATTAATTTTGTTACAATCGTTGTATTAAGTTTAAGTAAAACTTATCATTACTGGCCAAATAATTCTACCACCCTACACTGCTTTTAGTATAAACAGATAACTTTATAGTTTAGAAATATTGCTTTGATTATATACGAACATTAATAATCTTAAAGATGGTATTCGTTGCAATTTATTCTCAAAATATCACTTAGTAAACTATGTTCGTATAGGCAGTGTCCGAAATATGATTCTGATACACAGTGTGCTAAGCGCTAAAATCCAACTGATCGCTTAAGTGAGAACACAATGGTGAGTAAGAAAGTGTATTGAGATACCGAATCAAATGCACAAATACTCATTCATATATACACCACTCTATCCTTAGGAATTTGACCTGTTTCTTAGCCAATGAAATGTACTTTTATTAGATCACTCCTGGTTGCCAACGATCGACCTTCTCATTAGGCTAATTTTGACTGAATCTCTATATCAAATCATTTGATGCTACTCCTTTTGATGTGAAGTGTGTTAAACGATTGAAATTCCGTAACATTCTGTGTTAACAATAAAGTTCTTTATTAACACATTTACTGACTTAAGGAAAATCCTTATCAGTGTTTTTCAACGCCTGTGATTAGATTTTAATCACGATGCACCGAAATTTGATTCAGAATGAGTTATTTGTATCATATGCAAAAGCAATGGTACATCCGAGGCTGGTTGGTTATTTAAGTTCTCCGATCGATACAAACAACTAGTACAAATATCGAGTTCCTGCTTAATTTGTAATTTATCTTTGGACTAACTAATTATTCACTGGATAACTGATTTAGTTAAATTATAAAGACGAATAGTAAGGTAGTGTAGATAGTAAAAGTATCATTGTTAGAAGAAAAGATTAGAAATGAAGAATATGATTCAGGATTGAATAAGGAATTGGCAGACGAAAAAATGGATTGGTTTTTAGGCTGAGGATTTAGAAGAAAATATAGATTGGATGCATCTGTTGAATCGTGTCTGAATGTGAGTCAATTCAAACAAGATTTTCAATCGCTGGTAGTAATAACTGCGCATATAGCAACCAGGTGATCTACGCCTAGTGATACAGCTCAATTTAATAATCAATTGCTATATGGTCTAGTACAAAGTTTGATCTTGAATGCCTCTATCTTACAACCTTGATTGGTGGCTTTTTTTCAAGTAAAGAGAGTAGTCATTGTCATGACTTTTATCTTGTTGATTATCAGGTGACTAAATCGCCAATCAGAACAAGACTTATATGACCTTGACACTGTGTCAAATCAATGACGCATAAAAACGGTACGAGCAGTCTAGAGTCAACTATTAGACCTTATTAGTTCTTTTCGTCTACTCCGGGCCATTTGAGTCCAGAATATAAATCTCAGCTCCCACTGTATAAAACAAGTGTTTCAGATATACACAGTTTATATACGAGTAAATCGAACCGCATCATACAGCATCAAGCCAAAAGTGGCTGTGATAGTGAGAAACTGTAACTAATAGATAGGGAATATATCAAGAATGGTAAATCGTATAACTGCAGCCAATAAATCAAATGTAAGTTCATGATAAAGGGAATATGAATGTATATAATCCAGTTACTTAACACTTATGCAGTAAGAATATATATAATGACGGTCCATAAATAGTTTCCTGATGCTACCCATAATTTAATCTTCGTTAGAATATACCAGTCACAATAAATGTTATCATAACTTTATTATCATGAAGTGATTGGTATGGTCTGGCCTTTAAATAAGATTGCATGAAATAATGACGATAATCAATGTGGATATCAATAATAAAATATCATTTTAAGGTCCTGGAATGTTGAACTATTGATAGTAAGGATGTAATGGTGCGTGAGATTATAACTAAATACTTTACTACCCTAGTATGGTACTCTTCATTTGGTGAGGACCTATGGCTCTATTAGGGATAGAATCCAGGACTACTAAGAATTACACATACCAAATCGAAACAACTGTCTAGTGCCCATAAATTTTCAATGCTACCCCAACTGAGGCCAATTAGTAATAAATATAACCTATAAATTTAACATATCTTCACAAAACTAATTAAAAAATCAACAATAATAATAAAATAATTCATTTAAATCTATATAACAAAATAAAATAATCCAGTATATTGGCGAAAACAAAACAGTTGAGAAACTAACAAATATAAAATTCATACAGTAAATATAAGACAAATCATGAGTAAGAGAACTTATCTACGCAATTAGCTTGCTTACATGATCTATCTTTAAATATTTCATAAGCTGAATCTTAATTTGTAACAGAACGGATTTCACAAAATGGATCATCAACATTAAAACAATAATCGTAATAATAATACTGCGCACATTGTTTAAAAAGTTAGCCGGTGAAAAGGTCTGTAATGTATTTATATATTCTGACTATAATATATTTTATTTATTTTTCAGTGATGAATTCTATAAGGATGGCCACATGGTGCACGATCACTAAATGTCGAGTTCATCTGCTTCAAAGTTCTATATGACCGATGCGAATTTCCTGAATTTTTCAAATGTTTTGCTTCATTCAAATATTTTTGTCCCTGTCATTTAAAATTCGATTAAAAGTGTCATTACATAATTAGTAGTAACTTCAGTATAGAAATATAATTGATAAATCTTAAAATTAAGATGAATTTTTAAAATGATCGAATTCATATTACTTTAACAGTAAAGAATAGATCAGACGTACTTGTACAATTAGAACAAAAGAAACGTTGTATTATTTTTTAGTGCTGGGAACAAAGGACAAATAAAACCACCATTTGAATCGGAGTATTTATTTAAGTGATCGTTTTATTTGATACACGACTAGATCAAATGTTAATGTAAATCAGCTATCGACTTCACGTATATTTACCCGGACGCAATCGCAGATTGATGTACTACTGAAGCATCAAAGTAACATTGCGGTTTGCTAGATGATATAATAACCAAGAGTGTAGGCTTACCTGCCAAAAATGAATCTAATAATAGTAATCAGGAATGACCAATGAAAGATTATGTTTTAATGCTATTCAGCTTGATATTTGTAGTCATAATTATCCGTAAACTTCTAGATGTGAAGATATTGCCTCATCATTCTATATGAATTAGTGGATTACAAATTCTCTACAATCTATCTTGGTTGTAGTCAAATGTTTTTCCGGTCATCAAAAGATGAGTACACCATTCAGAAATCTGGTCTGTATTAGTTTATGCTTAAGAAATATCGTCTTACAAAATTTACAAGCACTACAGTTCAACTGAAAATGTCTTGGAACGATGAAATCATAAAATGAGTAATGTTTAAATTAGTATTAGGAGACTAAATAGAATTAATAAAAAAGCTGATGAGATTTAGAGCATTCATCAGCTGAAACCACTGAGATGTGAACTACTCGTGATCAGACCTCGCTTATCTCCATATCCAATGGTTGTTAACAGTGGAAAGTCGATTAGTGGTGGGTAAAATATAACTCGATATGAACTGATGAAGTCACTGCTTATTGAACTGGGCTGTTTAATAAATTATAAATTATCAGGTTGAAGTTCATAAGCGATAACTTTAGTCCAATTGCATAGCACATATTCACTCTCGATGGAACGACTTCACTAATTACTTTCCTTTCTCAAAAACCTAACTTTTTTATTATGCATTTTTAAATTCTCGGCAACATTCTTCCTTGCCGTACTATGTTTTTTACGATCAGTTTTCCTACTGTTATTAATAGTTCTATCATTGTCATCTTATCAATTTTATTAAACCTTAATGTTGTGAACTATAAAGACCCGATCTTATCTTCATTTGTGTCAGGTCCCATGCTGTTTAAAATCAAATGATTGAATGATTTTGAATATCAGTAAATTCAAAGTGAAATAATCTTTAAACATAATCTACTTCAAAATCTTGACTATAAA